TAGTAGAATAAAGAATTGATGTTGTTGTTATATTATTTATTTATTTATCATATTTTAATTATATATAAATATCATAATTATATTAATTACTTCAACTATATAGTTTTTATTATTACTTATTAATTATATTAATTTTAAAAAAGCAAATAAAGTACAAATAATAAGATGCCAATTAAAAATAATGATTAACATACCTAATTCATGAAATTCTAATCTCCTCCTGTTCTACTGTTTGCCCATTTCACTCCATCCAAATTCTCAAAAACTTTCTCTTGGCATGCACTATTGCCTCCACCGATCTATGGGATATAAAATCTCTCTCTCATCGTTCGCTTGTTCTACTAGTCTCATAAAAATTTTTAAAATACAATTTCATAGAACTCTCTCTCTCTCTCTAGTATTGATGGAACCACTACTACCAATAACATTCCCAAGATAAGCCTAGTCTGTAACATTGATTTTTTTTTTTTTTTAATCCCCCTCTCTTGAGAATATTCTTTTGCCCTAATAGAATTGGAGTTTTGTAGTGTAAAATCAGTGTAGGCAAAGAGTATGAAATTGCACCAGAAATAAAAAAGTGAGAGATGATATCAGGCCAACGCAGATGGGATCCGCCCTCCATCTGCGAAAACTGGCTTTAGATCTTATAAACCATTAGAATAGCTCTGATATCTTAAAAATCTCTGCTCAGATAAGTTGAGATTCGGAAGATTTTATTTCCATAATATATATATAATATATATATATATATAATATATATATATATATATAATATATATATATATATATATATATATATATATATATATATAATTATTTTGATTTGTTCCAAAATAGATTTTATTAATTTGAAACTAAAATTGAATATTAACGTTTAATTTTGAACTGCGCTCTATAAATGTTAAGAAAGGGGAAGTTTTTGAATCTAAATCTCTCTCGCCTCTTTTCTCTTTCACTTCCTTCGAAATTCTCTCTTCCACTACTTACAAGCGGCTCCGCCTTTCTTCTTCGTCTTTATCTTCTCTCCTTCTTCTCTTCTCCAACGGACCACGATTTGCTTTCTTAATTTACTCGTAAATTTGTTTATGTTTCTCGAGCTATAAATGTGAGCCGATTTTGGGTTCAGGAGGCAGTTGATGATACGCTGTTTTAGCATACAGTATATTCCTACAGCTATATTTATACGCCATGGATGCTCTCTGATGCTACGCCATGGATGATGCGATCTCTTTCTACGCCATGGATGATCATGCACATGTTCCTACGCCATGGATGATGCGCCTCTTTCCAACACATTGATGACGCGTTCTGTTCCTACGCCACGGATGATGCGCTCTATCCATACGCCACGAAGAATGCGCTCTGTTTCGAATCCCTCTCATCGTCGTCGTTACGGTGTGCACATCGTTTTCTTTCTTCTCAATTCTAATTTTCTACACTTCTCTCTCTCTCTCTCTCTCTCTCTCTTCTCTCTCTCTCTCTCTCCACCTCATTCACACTCCACACTTTTTGTGCTCATTTTTTCGATGAACGATTTCAGAGTATGAATACTATCTTCGTTTGCCCTCACAACATACAAATCATACAAGGATGCGTCTGCAGACATTGATACTAATGAGATGGACCAGAGCAACAGGTAATTAATCTTAAAGAATGATCATGATTTTTACATACGAGTGATCATTTCTTTAATCTTGTCATATTATTTAGTTAAGTTTCTATACTGAATTAGTCAATTCCAAACAACAGAATCCACAATATCATAGTAGTAGAGCTGAGCAGATTGTCAGAAGAATGCATATCTAATTCTTGATCAACAGTTTGGCCGCTTAACAAAGATGGAAGAAAATATAATTTGCACCATATGTCAGGTAATTATATATCATTATTATTATTTTCATTTATTAGAAAAAAATTGTTATATGAGATTATAATTAATTTCATATATTTATTTATTTAATGAAGGAAGATATCAATGTGAAGGAGGAAATAGCTACTCTATGCCGCACCCATATTTATCATGCAGGATGCATCGAAAAGTGGTTGACGGTTAAAAATGAATGTGCTGTGTGTAGATCAGCAGTGATCCTCGATGAAGTTGTTGGAAGAGATCCACATTAATGAGATAATGGTGATGGTTATGCAAGCATACATTTCAGAAATTAACTGTGCTAATTTGGTTGAAAATTAAAATAATTCGATTTTTTTCTTTGATTTAAACAAATAATTCATGTAATTCAATCTATAAGCTAGTTTAGGTAAAAATTTATCATATATATTTTTTGGTAATATGATTTGCAATTATGAGTGATTATTTTATTCACTAAAAAAAGTTGTAAATTCAATATATTTTTGTATATTTTCTTTTAAAACTCTTTTTCTCATTAATTTTCATGCTGTTATTCTCATTTGATAGATTACTTGTAAATTGTTAAAGTGAAGATAACATGAAGCTCGTTGTAATTTCTTTGCCAAGTATTGAAGTTAATATATTGTGAAAGTAAATAGTTGACATTTCATTTTTTGTATATATTTTCTATTTTTGAATTATTTTAAAATTTGTTCATTCACTGACATGTTTGTTATGTTTGGGCATCCCAGAAATTTTAAATAGGATATGACATCTTATAAGGTTGCCTCTGTTGATTGTTCTTGTAAACATCCACATTACCTAATCTTCATTCACTGGTGCTGCTTTTCCTTTCATTTCTTTATATATATATATATATATTCTATTTTTGAATTATTTTAAAATTTGTTCATTCACTGACATGTTTGTTATGTTTGGGCATCCCAGAAATTTTAAATAGGATATGACATCTTATAAGGTTGCCTCTGTTGATTGTTCTTGTAAACATCCACATTACCTAATCTTCATTCACTGGTGCTGCTTTTCCTTTGCAGTCTATAGTGATGGATCATCTACTTGACATGTCATTCATTTGTTTTATTTCAACTATAATATTAGATATAAGAAGGTTAACATTTTTAGTATTGTTCTCAAAAAGCTAATTTTTTATTTTGATGTTGGTATTCATGACAGTTTATTAAGATTAGCAGGTATGATTCTATAAGAACAATTAATTCTATAAGAACACAATGGTCGAGCATTGATCGACAATAAGGAGTAAAATCCCAAAATCGTGGTAGGCGGAACATTCATTGTTTGGTATAATGGTAGAACAGGGATTTTAAGCGAGAAATGGTGAAATTAATAAGCTTAATGGGAATGTTTGGTGTAATATATAGAAAACGATATAGTTTTGGGATATTAGTTCAATATTGTTCAAAATATCATGTTCATATTATACTGTGTATCTTGATCGAATCGTGTGGTACGATTAGTTCAATATTGTTCAGATCGTACGGCCCGAACTCCAGGATGATTGGAAATCATCTCTGTCATTCGTCTTGTACGATTTACATCGTACTATATGATTAGTTTGAAAATTAATGTTTCATCTCGGATGATCACCTGGACGACCAAATTTTGTATCTGTCAACCGTCCAATACGATCGACATCATATTGTACGATGTGGTGTTCGTATTGTACATTTAATTATATTTCAAAATTATTTTCTCAATTAAATAAAATATTTTAATTATTTTTTGTAGCAATCGATCATACAATACGATCTTAATCATACAATACAAGTTACAAAAAATAAACTATTTATAATTTTAATTTTCACTCCCCCTGTATGCGTGCACGATTGCTAAGCTAATAAATGTCATTTACAAAAATAGACTCAAAAAATGATAAAATTACTTACTCTTGAAAATATCAATCCTATACTACCCAGTCTTGAACTCTGGTCCTTTGACAATGCTTAATGTATGTTTAGCCTGAAATGTTACCACACACAAAAAAAAATATATGCAATAAAAAATTATTCGATAAAGTAAATACAATCCAATTATGCTTATTATCATTAAAACATAAATTTGAGCTTCTGAATTCCAACAGACTCGAACAGATTTTCTTCAAAAAAAAAAAATTCCAGACTCGACTTTCTCAAATGTTCATTGTAAGGGACTCAAATTCCTTAGCTATTCTTCTTAGGTAAAGCCATCTTGACAAATATTACATTCCTAACTAAATAAGGCATGGACATACCAAGCCCACGAATATGCCTAACAAGTTCAACTAGAGGACTCATTTCATTCAACCTTCACCGAAAAAGGCACACATTGAAGGATACACCTTTCTTAACTGTTCTCTATAAGAGGACTCAACTTTCTTAGTTATTCTCCTTATGTAAAGCCATCATTAGAGATATCATATTCGTAACTAAATAAGGCATAGACATACCAAGCCCACAAATATGCCTAACAAGATCGACTAGATGACTCATCTCATTAAACCTTCACCCAAAAAGACTCTCACTGAAGTAGGACTCGCCTTTCTCAATTATTCTCTATAGGAGGACCCAACTTTTTAAGCTATTCTCCTTAGCTAAAGATAGCTACCTTTATGGGATCCAACTCCCCCCTCCCCCTACAATATTCACAAAGGAGATCTATCACTCATCTCACAAAACAATCATTCTTGAGTACTCACACGAGATACCTCAGAAGACTCGCCTCAAGGAAGACAACATGGGCAACATGAGACGCATCTTAGGCAAAGGATCACATGTGTACCTTTCGACCTAGTTCATGTGCCCATGCCATTCTATATTTGTCATATCATATTCATTATGTTATTTCTTCTATATGTAGCCTTTTTTTAGTCTTCTAAATCATAAAAATAAGATGTCAAGAGAAAATTTTGAATTCCATGGACCACCTTCAATTCTAAATAACATTGTCAAGATTTAATATTTTTGTCAAACAATTCTCAGAATTTTACATTCTCACGATTTAGTAAATCCTGATTTGCAAGGCTTAATAAATCCTACTTGCATCCAAGCAGCACCCTTAATTAAAGTTAATCGTCTTTTGCAGCAAATTAGGATTTAGGTTATATCCTGCTTAAAGCATGCTACCAAACAGCACCTAAAAGAAAATCTCACAATTTCATAAGTGTTTTAAATCATCTGAAGAGAATCACATTAAGCTAACATCCACTAATTTGTTCAGATTATAACGCCATGCACCACATAAAAAATAAATAATAAATCAAGAATGCAAATACAACTTCGCCAAACATTTTTCAAAATGCTTTGATAGAAGAAGATAGCAGGACGCTCTCCTTCTTCTCTTTGCATGCAAGGCCAGTTCTCGCAACCAATTTAGTCATCCTACAAGAATGATCAGACGGGAAGCGATGCTTGAGACAGACTTTAAGGTTACAAACCTTACAGGCGCTTTTATTGGAAAAGGTAAGAATCTCTTTGCATCTCGGCACAGGACATCGAGGCTTACGTTTCTTTGATGGATCGCAAGTTCCGGATTTCTCGTGCTGGGAAAGGCTGTCTTTATCGTCCTCATTGGCTTTCTTCTCGATTGAAGCCGAGCAGATATCGCAGACGGCAACAGTTCTGCTGCTGTGATCTGCTTTTGGGCAGGCATGGGATCTGTAAGTTCTATGCTCCAAGCAGAACACCTACAGGAATTTATATATGATTAATCGACCTAACAAAATTATTTTTTGTAGAAAAAATAAATTTATTAAGCCGAATACCACCCATCGGCAAAACAATCTAACGAAACAACGCAAACAAAAACTGTTTTCTCATTTGCTTAATCGAATAATATTCAAGCTCGCTCAAAAACCGATCTTATTGAATATCAGATAAATCACAAAATGAACAGAACGAACTTTCAACAAGTTTCGCAAAATTTATCACTGAAATCATGGCAAAATGGAAAAAAAAAATCATAATTCCACAGCATATTAAAGTGCCCTAAAATCGGCAAGATTCCTCAAACACCAACAGAAACCAAATCACAAATCATCAACACCAAGAAACTAAATCAACCATTAAAATAGCTAAACACTAAAAAAACAATATGAATCACACATCTAATTCGATATTTGATCTTGGAAGCAGGCTCAAAGCCATAACTAGAGAATGAATGATACCTTGCGGCAGCCGTTGCAGGTGAAGGGAAGGAAATCAAGTTGGTTGCAGTCGTCGTATTGGCAGTGCTCGCCGATATATGGAAAATATTCTTTGCCTCCGCCCATGCTTTCTTACAATTTGAAATCCTCTCTGATTTCTCTCTATCGCATGAATCGATGATATAAGGCTTCTTTATATATATATATAGATAGAGAGAGAGAGAGAGAGAGAGAGAGAGAGAGAGAGAGAGAAGGCTTCTTCTTCCTTTACATGCACGCGAAGCAGGAAGCTTGGGTTCCAAGAAGGCGCGATGAGGGGAAATAATTAAAAAATTATTTTTATCAGAATATTTTAATATAAATTATATCTGATAAATTAAAAAATAACTGAATTTATTTTAAAGTTAATATGTTTTAATAGTTTTAATGAATTACATTAATTATAAATAATCTAACATATATTTGTTTAATTCTGATTAAAATATTTACACATAAGAGTGCTAGTTGGTGGCAGTTTATATGTTTTGAAGTGTCTAGAGCATTCTAAGTCTTTTGTTGATTGCTTGTAAGATATTGGTTGCCATAAATTTTTTTTTTTGGACTCTAGAAAATAAAAAAAAATATCTGATTAGATTATTTTTAAATTAAAATATTTTTTAGGTCAATGTAATATAATAATTTATGAATTAATTATATTATATATTAAATTTAAAATAAATTTAAATGTTTTCAAATTCAGCTTAAATAACAATTGTTGATTGTCAAAAATAAGGCTGTCATGTGACAAATAATTTTTATTTTATTAAATCTTATATATCTATGCTTTTATATATAAGTGTGGCTTGGGATTCCTTCAAAATATAATCCTAGCTTTCCATTTAATTTTTCAAAGTTGAATCTCAACCTTTCATTTTATTTATACATTTGATTAACTTATTTATTAACTTCATTTAAATGTCTGACATTTTTTATTTTGTTTACATTAATTGCAATTAATTAAGAGTCAATTGGTGTTCTTAATTATATTTATTTTTTATTCAATTAGGATTAATTAATATATTTATTTTTATTATTTCTTAATTAATACATACTCTAACCATTAATAATATAATTCATTAATTAATATTCACCATATATATACTATTATAAAGTTGATTTTTAACTCTTCTCATATTGAATTATAGCCCTTAAATTTATGATGAATATAATCCTAACAATTAAATGTATGATTATTATAAAAAAAACTAATTTAAATTTTATCTTTTCAATACTCTTGATATGTCATTAAAATTTATCTTGATCGTGCACGAATCTCGAGGCAAATTAAGTTAGAAACTTCAAACATTAAATCAGTGACATTCAAGTACCAAATAAATGGTCCATGATAGAGGAAATCCACATCAACAGTCCATTCAAACCACTCCCAAATTAACATTTATCTTCCTCCTATTTAATGGTCATGTCACTCTCAGAAAATTATAAATAGACCCCTCATTTCTCATAAAAAGAGACCCAAAAGGGGGGGAAGAAGGAGCCCAAGCAAGAATAGAATAAATAAAAGAAAGATAAGGAAGAGAGCTTTTTTGCCACCAGACACTTCCTCGACCACCGCCGGGCTTTCACACGGCAGCCTATCGACGTTGGAGTGTTGCCCCTGAACGTTAATTGACGCCAGAGTTCTGCCCGACCCCCAATTGACGTCAAAGTTCTGCTCGGACACCGACTTTTGTCAGACTTCTACCTGACGCCGAAGTTTCGTCCATCACTGGACTTCTTCCTGTCACCAAACTTTCAGCGGACTTCTACACGATGCCGAATTTCTACCCAACACCGGACTTCAGCTCGTCGCTGAATTTCTACCTGACACCGAACTTCAGCCCTTCACCGGACTTTCATCAGACTTCAGCCCGACACTGAATTTTCGTCAGACTTTTACCTGACGCCAAACTTCCATCCATAATCGAAATTTCATCGAACTTCTAGCCTGCACCAAACTTCCGCCCGTCATCAAATTTCTACCTAATGCCAAACTTATGCCAGTCATCAGACTTTCATCGAACTTCTACCTGATATTGAACTTCAGCCCATCGTCGAACTTCCAACCTCCATCGCTAGACGACTACATTCCTTTCGATCTTCTACGCCATATAAAAGTCTTTCTGACTAATGTCGTTTGCCGACTACGATCCTTCGGACATCCACTGTCATACAATAATCTTGCTAGCCACTGTCGCCCGTCGACTATGATCCTTCCAATCTCCATAGCCACATTATGGTCCTTCCGACCTTCGTCGACAGACAGCAGTCTTTTCTAACCACTATCGCCTGTTGACAACAATCTCTCCGACCAGCATCACTAGACTACGGTCTTTCCTAAAAGTTTATTAGGGATGATAGGCCCTTATGAACCAGCCTAAGGCTAATTAAGAGAGTTATGAATTGGTATTTTAAAACATCTTTCATAATAAAAACACAAACCAAAACCACCACAAAGAAAATATAATGCAGAAATAATAAAGGAAAGAACACACCAGATTTATAGTGCTTTGGTCAAACCTTAACCTATGTCCACTCGTCGTAGGCACCCTCCGAGTATTGCACTAAACTTAGTGTCTCTCCTTTAACCCCCACAGCTATGCGGGGAAGCCCTTATAAAATCACTTCCACCTTCCCCGGTGCGGTGGCGTAGCCGGGTCCTTTGACACCAAAGATATCTTCTTCTTCTGTGAACTTTCCTCAAGATAAGCCTTGAATCCGACGGCACTAGGGTGCAAGCTCGCCGGAGCAACCATGTAGAATCCCCCTCCACACTCCCTTGAGTCCTCCTCCAAGGATCTTCTCCCTCTCTCAAACTCCACCCTTTTCTCTCTCCCTTTTCAAGCTCTCTCTTTAAGTTTCCCCCAAAAGAATGAAGCTACAATGGTTGTCAAAGGCAATTACAAAGTGCCTTATCTAAGTTTAAATAGAAGATTTCAAAACGAGTTTATTAATGCAACTTGCCGACTTTATCGTCCTAGCCGATCAGTGCAAATTAAGCTCAATCAGCCAGGACGGTTTGGGACGATCAGAAAAAATTTATTCATATCATCCAGGACGATAATATATCGTCATGGCTGATCAGTACAAATGTGGAATATCGTTCTGAACATTGCTCTGAATAAGAACTGTCCGATGTCCAATCGTCTAGGCTATTGTCCCGGCCGATCCTGCGATCGGCACGACCGATATGATCGAATCAATCAGCCTTAATTGCTTTTCATAATTACCAAAATAATTTAGGCATAATTATGTGTATCGTCCAGGCCGATATAAAGGATTGTCCTGGACGATGTCCAAAAATAAATACTACCTAAATAGATCTGGCGGCTTATTCTTTCTATTTTGAGCATATCGTCCTAGCCGATACAAGGATCATCCAGGACGATCTGCTTAATGATAGCTGCTTAACAAGGATGCCCTAATTAGGGTTTCTATTTTTGAACCGATCATCCAGGCTAATATAAATATCGTCCCGGATAATGTTACCAAAAATAGTCAACTCTAATTTAGACAGAAAAATTCCTAAGTGTGTGTGTGCAAGATTTACAATGCAAGCAAGCACCCTTACTGGACATAACTCAAGGAATAAACAATTACATCAGTGAGAAATACAAGCAAAAATAGTTCTCTTAAAATCTTGAGCCTTGAGTGGTAAATCGTAGTCTTGAAAAGTTAGTATACACACAAATAAACATATAATTCAAGTACATATAGGCAGCAGAAAGTGTACCATAATATTTGTTATCATCAAAAATATAAACTCATAAGCTCGAGTTGCAACAATATCCCCTTTTTTATGATGGCAAATATTATCGGTTGAATTTGTAAATTTAAAAATATTTTCTCCTAATCTCCCCCTCACTAGAATAAAACTTTTTAAAAAATAGAGGAAATAAAAAAACATTTTTTATTTTTTATTTTTGAAAAAAAGATACAAATACAAATGCATTCTTCTCCTTTGACATTATCAAAAAGAGAAGGGCCACAAATAAACAGGACAAAAGAAAGAAAAAAAATGATTAAAAGACAAAAAATGAACAATCCTTGATAAAGTGAAGACATAATTTTCTTAAAATGAGAAATTTACCCCTTGATTTTATTCAAAAACTTAAAAGAATTGTATTGACAACGCATAGCGCAGAAAAGGTTAGAAATTCAAAATTTGATAATTCAAACTCAAGTTTTTTAAAGGCTCAAAAACTTTTTAATCCAATATCTAAATCAAGGAACAAATTATAGAAAGAAACACTCATTTTTTAAAACTCCTTTCATAAAATGCATCTAATAAAAATATTAATGCACGAAATGTTGAATTAGGAATCATGATTTTTAAACTCAAGTATCGAAAGTATCAAGAGTTTTGTTAAGCTTTAAGAAGTATAAGAATGGTAAGCATTATATTTTGTGGGCTTATTTTATGCCTCTTGTCAATTGGTTGGCGCACTGCGTATCTTTTAATTTTTGAACCACTTTGTGTATCCTTTTTTTTTTCAATTTGGCGACATTGCGCATCTTTTATTTTTGGCATCATTTACCACTTTTTTTTAATATGCTATCTTTCTAAAATCTTAAAAATAAAAGTAAATCCATCCTATTGACAAAACGAATCACTTGATTAAAAAAAAGTATGATGTAAATTCAACAATTTGTAAAAGATTTATATGTGATAAATAAAATATAGGGAGATAAAAAAAGATCAGTTTCAAGATCTAATTTAAAATATGATGAAGATTTTAAATCAAAAGTAGAATAACTTTTTTTAGGAAATAGAGATTAAGAGTCAAAATCATGAGTTTCCTTCCTTTGACTATTTTTAGAAAAGTCAACCACAATATTAATAAGAATTCAAGAAAAAATAGGAGGTATGTTTTTCATTTTTAGAAAAGTGAACGTGTGTGTTGATCAGATAGAACACTAAAAAAGAAAAAAAAGGAAAAATAAACTTAAAAATTTAACGAAAGAAAAAGAAAAGAAAAACAATGAAAAAAAATAAATCCAAAGAAAAACACAAAAGATTAAAAAAACAAAAATGAACAAAACACGTAATTCCAGAAATTATTAAACAGCAGGTTTAAGCAATTATGAGCCACGAGCCTCCGTTTGTCCATGTATCATATGCTCTCACGAGGTCTTTGGTGAGAGTACTCCTACAAAAATCATAAACCGTCAGATTTAGGAACCCAAACAAGTTTAGGTCCCTCCTTATGAAAAGAAGAATGTAATGCA